CAGCGGATAGGAAAATCAACAGACAAATGGAAGGCACCAATGAAACTAGTGCCAATAATCACAGAACCCTTCCGTCGGCTCGTGATTGACATCGTGGGGCCTCTGCCTCCATCTAAATCAGGATATCGGTACGTCCTGACCGCGCTGTGCGTTGCCACCAAGTTCCCGGAGGCAATCGCACTGAAAGAGTTGAGTTCAGTATGCGTGGTGGACGCATTGTTGTCTATTTTTTCTCGGGTGGGTTTTCCCTCGGAGATACAGTGTGACAACGGAAGTGTGTTCACAAGCTGCCTTACGACTACATTCCTAGAACGCTGCGGGATAAAAATCGCGCATAGCTCTATTCACCATCCACAGTCGAACCCTGTGGAACGCATGCACTCGGTCATGAAACGCGTTTTGCGAGCTTTGTGCTTTGAGCATAAAAGTGACTGGGAGGGGTGTATACCAGCTGCGATGTTTTCTCTGAGGTCGGCCCCACACGAGAGTACGGGTTTTAGTCCGGCTGAACTTGTCTACGGCAGGAACTTGAGAGGTCCGCTGCACTTGATACGAGAGTCATGGACTGGATATGGGGAGGACCCTAATGTGGTTTCCTATGTACTGGATTTATTGGGGCGACTGGGGACTACACGCGAAGTGGTGGAGAGCAACATGCGCGCAGCACAGGCGCTTTCCAAGGCCCGTTACGATAAGTCAGCTCGAAAGCGAGTCTTTAGAGTGGGCGATGAGGTGATGCTGTTGTGCCCTTCAAGAAAAAACAAGCTGGACGTACAATGGGAGGGACCAGCGACAGTGATGTCAGTGCTTTCAGACACCAACTACGAGGTAAAGTGGGGCCGGAAATGCCCCAAAGTGTATCACAGTAACCTAATGAAACCCTACATGCGACGAAAAGCAGTAGTAAACCTTGCACTCAATGTTCCTGAGGACGAGGGCGCGGAAATCCTTTGTCTTTCCGATGGCACGGTCAGCAGCACATTGTCAGATAGGGTAGACACAGGGAACACCCTAAGTAAGGCTCAAGAGGAAGATTTAGAGCTTTTAGTACAGGAATTCGCTACCGTTTTCTCCGAGAAGCCAGGCAAAACGGATGTGATTAAGCACGACATTGAGCTGACGGTTAACAAGCCGATCAGCTGTAAGCCGTATCGGGTGTCACCTAGACAGAGAGAGATACTAGAGGCCGAAATTCGCCGCATGATCGACCTAGGTGTTATCATCGAAGCAGACAGCGATTTCACCTCGGCTTTGATTTTGGTTGAGATTCCGGGCCGTGATCCAAGGCCATGCGTGGACTATCGCCGCCTGAACTCTGTAACAATCGACCAGACTTACCCTATTCCTAACATTGAAGAGAGGGTAGAGACAGTGTCTAAGGCGAAATACATTTCTACGCTAGACCTTGTTAGGGGGTATTGGCAGGTCCCTTTGACAGAGCGCGCGAGTCGATACGCTGCTTTTATCTCACCCCTGGGCACTTTTCGTCCTTTGATGATGAGCTTTGGGCTCAAGAACGCGCCGTATTGTTTCAGCCGCCTGATGGATAAGGTTCTCCACGGGCTCGAGAAATTTGCGCTGCCTTACCTAGACGATGTGGCGATATTTTCGGACAAATGGGAAGACCATGTTGAACACCTTCGGATGGTTTTGGAACGGATCAAAAATGCAGGTCTTACGGTAAAGAGAGAGAAATGTCATTTGGGCTGTGCTGAAGTAAGCTATTTAGGGCACATTGTAGGAAATGGGCGTCGTCGACCGTCCGAACTCAAGGTAGCCGCGGTGGTCGGTTATCGTCGTCCCAGCACTAAGACCAAGATGAGAGCATTCCTCGGCCTCACAGGTTACTATCAGCATTACGTCCCGAATTACTCCGAGATTGCCAGCCCTTTGACAGATAGTTTACGCAAGACCGAACCTGTGAACATTCAATGGGACTCTAAAAAGGAAGACGCTTTTCAGAAGCTGAAGCACGCATTGAGTGAGAAACCCGTCTTGAGGGCACCGGATTTTGCAAAACCTTTCACTATTCAGTGTGATGCAAGCGAACGCGGTTTAGGAGCAGTGCTATGTCAGACAGACCAGAGTGGAGAGGAGCGGCCGGTTTTGTATTTGAGTCGCAAATTGAGCAGCAAGGAAGAGGCTTATAGCACTTCGGAAAAAGAATGTGCTTGCATTGTTTGGGCCGTACAAAAACTAGGCTGCTATGTTGCTGGCTCTAAGTTTATTATAGAAACTGATCACTCTCCACTAACCTGGTTACACCAAATGTCACCTAAGAATGGTCGTTTGCTCAGATGGAGCATAGCACTGCAGCAGCACAATTTCGAGGTGCGCTACAAGAGAGGTGGCCTTCATACAAATGCAGACGCCCTAAGTCGAGCGTTTTGACTCGTCAAAAGACGCGGAAGGTTTGTTTGATTTTTTTGTTTACCTTTACCTAGTTTATGTGTACTTTTTTTTTTCAATGTGTTACAGTGAGGGCATAGAGAAATTTTTTACTGACTCCCTCGTTGTCCCGAGCTCTACAGTTTGCTTGTTTAGCTTGATTATAATGTTATCTCGATTCCAAATGGAATTACGTATGAAAGAGTTACTGGACACTTGTCCCGATTGGTATGCACATTGTTTCCTTGAGCTTAAGTTATTAAGATAAGATGTTTGCTTTGTAAAATCTGAGGCCTGGCGATGAGAGTGGCGTGCACGCGGTGCTTGTCGCATTGTGTGTGGCTGACAAAGGTCGTTTCTTGGAGCTTGTCACCCACTTTTCACCGAAGCGGGGCGCAGAGGCCAGCTCTTGGAGCATTCCAGTTTGACCAGGCCCTTCGAGAAAGCAAGAGCCTTGCCAGAACGTCGCCGACATCGACCCGGCCGAGCTGCATGGAACAACTCGACCTCCCGATGTATCATCTGGCGGCGGGGGTGCTGTTGTGCCTCGCCCAAGTTCCACGTGGTCTTCGCGGCCTGCTGGCACCTGGCAGCTGTTGATGAGTCAACCCTGCACCGTGTTGTGCCTCGCCCAAGTTCCACGTGGTCTTCGCGGCCTGCTGGCACCTGGCAGCTGTTGATGAGTCAACCCTGCACCGGGACGGCGACGGACGCGGACAATCGGGAAAAACCACGTCGCCGGCTCCTCTTGACACAAAAGTCGTTGGCCAAGTTTTTGTCAGCCGCCGAGAGCAACACTCCGAAGCAGCGTCGACCCAGCAGCTGTACGGGGTATTCTGCCTTGCTTGAGTCAACCTGGCTGCATCAGGGAGCGACTTTGCGCATGGGATTCCACGTCATCTCACTGTGGTGCCACGCTGGCGCGTGGGGTCTCCCTCACCAAACAGCGAACTGGGCATGCCTTGCCCCCTTTCCTAGGTTCAGAGGGAGGCGGTGTTTGGCTTTCCCTCTTCGGGGCCGGAGAGGAAGACGACGATCTCATTGGAGTATCCTGCGCATAAATTATCTTTGCAAGGGATCTTGGGAAGGCGGACGATGTATAAAAACGCTAGCGCAGAGGCGCTCGTGGGTGATTCTCTTTTCATGTTGTACCACGCTACCATGTAAATACTGTATATAAACATTTTTTTCTCCTTCTCCGGCTTCTCTACTCGTCCTCTCCGGGGACTCGGATGGCCCGAGTCCGCACCACGCTACACAAAGGCGCAACAGCGCACACCTCTATTCATGCAATGGTGGTTACTATGTCAGTCACGCAGCCAGCCAGGAGATGGCATACCGGGCCCGTTTCCCCTGATTTTTTTTTTTTTTTCGCGATGGCGTACATGGGCAAAAAAAAAAAGTATATTAACTCTGTGGGCAAAAATGACCATTTACCTGTCTTGCAAAACTACAGCAAATTCGTGGCCTGGAGCTAGGCCGTCTCCAAGGAAGACCAGAGACCGTGTGTCGTCGCTGTCCAGGATTGCTGGATGCCCAGATGATCCTGGAGGTTGGAGCTAGCGCGGCCGGTCCACCGTGCCGCGGCTTCATCTGAATGTGTGCGCCATAAAGTTTCTCAGTGTGAAGTGTGGATTATTGTTGTTGGACGAACTGCATTTTCTAGATTTCAGTGCCAAGCGTGGTGTTGTCGATGGTGAAAGTGTCCTTGCTGCCTAGCTTTGTTTGTCGCGAAGAGCAAGTTTGACGATGAAATAAATGCTTCTGCACAGTTCACGTGTGACTGTCCGGGCGCGCATGCTTGAAACCCCAGTGCGTCTGCGAAGTCTTCTTACGAAGCCTGTAATCTCCGAAAGCCAAACCTACTGCATGCAGGCTGTTTTGCTAAGTGCGAACACGTACGACCGTTCTCATCCGGTGCTACATAAATGCTCACGTGCTGTCACAGGCCGTGCGTGTTATCCAGCAAGGCAGACAAGCTGTTTTGTATTTAGATGGGCTAACACAGTCGACACTTGCCCTTGGGCATCGTTTATCAAGTGCTGATCGCCTAGAGCATTACGGTGGCACGTCAGTATTTTGAAGCGGCCTGCCGGTTAGCTCGTCAGGTGATGACCGTATGCTGAGTGACATAAAACAGATTCCAGTTGCATATTCGGCGGGGCTACATTGCAGTGCGCCTTTCTGTCATCAAAACTTTCATAAACCGTGGAAATCAAGATTCCTGACGCATATACTAAAGAAACCGATTCAGCCAGCTGCATTTGAATTTTTTGCGTCTTTTTACGCCTCGCCAATTAAGAGCATTTTTTTCGCAAAACACTTTATCATAATAAATATAGCCAATTCTGCGATGGTCATCAAATATGCGATATCGAAGGGCCTGTGGACAGGACCACCAGCAGCAAATCAGGCTGACGGGAGGCCGATGAGGAGGCACAAATGTCAAAACAATACTTGTGCGAAAAAAGAAAGAAAACCAATGGGGCTCGAATTACTGACCTCACCTGTCCTTTACGTGCCGCTCTAGCCAACCACGCCACAGCTACCGATTGGTTCTGAAGGTCTAACTAGCTGGTTTTGTGTTGTTGTTAAGGTGAACCTAACTTCGTTGAATTTCCTTCGGCGTAGTGTGGGAGTGCTTTCAGCATTGGCCTTCAACATAGCGACGTTTGTTGCGCTTACAATGATGTCAGAAAGACTGCTTTTGTCGAGAGTGCTGCGCCAGTTGCTGCGGAACGTTACGATGCGTCGACGCTTGTGCAACTCAGCGCCGCGCGAACTCGATTCCGGCGTTAAGGAGAGAATTTCCCGAGGCCCTTCGCTCGAGCACTTCATCGCTAACTCTGCAAATAGCCTTGCCGAAGCTGAACCGCCACGCTCGACTGAAAAGTTCCAACATCCCTACGTAGCGAATAATGATGTCCAGGCACAAGGGAAGAGAGGTGAGGAGGAGCTGTATCCTAAACTTCTCCATTTAAGCTCATCCAACCGTGCGCTTCAAGTTTTTGCCTGGTTGGCTAGTCCCTAGCCGAAAAGAATATACATGGCGAAAAACTCGTGCTTTATTTACTCCGCACTGTCTGCTATTTTTTTTTTTTTTTTTGCGAAATCATGCACACAACTTGCATTGGTCAAGCAGTGATGAAAACAGTATGACCAGCATGCACTGTACTTATGAGTTCTCCATGAACACCTAATGCCCATATTTAATACTTAAAATCTTATATAATATTGAATAATTTAAAATTGCTGTAGAAAAACTTGCTAGTGATTACCAGTTGTGTTCATTTATTGTGTAGCATAGCTACACATGAGACATAGTTTGTCAACTATTGCAGATCGTCGTACCTACGAAGCTTTTGGGAAGGATTTTAAAAGCTGGCATAGTTTCACGTGCACATAAAATTAACATGATTTGTTGCTATGCAAGACACAAGTTTTCATTGTTCTTAAATAACGACTGTGCGTGTGTTTCCATATTATTCATTTTTCTGGTATTCCAGTACACTTCGAGACGTATGGGTGTCAGATGAATGTCAATGACACTGAAGTGGCCTGGTCCCTGTTGAGGGATGCTGGTTTTGTGAGGACCAACTCTGCAAGTGAGGTATTACTTAATGCATAAATCAGCATTCAACAGGCTGTGAAAGTACTCTTTACATTTCAGGCTGATGTCGTGCTCATAATGACTTGTGCCATACGAGAGGGTGCCGAAGGAAAGATCTGGTCGAGAATCAATCAATTAAAGCACTTGAAGAGGCTGCGCCATGCCGCTCAACATGGGCCCTTGCAGATCGGAATATTGGGTTAGTTCTCATTCAGGAAAACATATTTTCTGATAAATTGACATTACGGGTAACTGAGATTTATGCTGTTCATATATGCTAAGCAAGTTCACTTGCCACAACAGATGTTCTTATTATTTTTTCTTTGATGATATGTGAATTTCTTTCCTGTTGTGCACCAAAGTTATGACATGTGACGTTTCTAAACTTTGTCTTTATCCTTACTTTGTCTTCTCATATGAAAGAAAACGCTTCTTGGTATGCATGGTTTATCGCTATATTCAATCTCTCACAATCCATGGTTACTATTGGTGTGAAAAACAAAGCTTTGTTTACAACTTGCATACTGGTTTTGATTTCTTGATCACGCACCTGTGATTCTGTTTCTTTTTAACGGTATGTTATTTGACTTTCATGCTCTACAAGTTCTCCCTGGTTCATTTCGCAGGATGCATGGCTGAGAGGCTTAAAGAGAAACTTATAGAGAAAGAGAAAGCAGTGGACATAGTTGCGGGCCCAGACAGCTACAGAGACTTACCACGTCTCCTGGCCCTCGCCAATTCAGGACAAGCTGGTGGTACATTGCTTATTTTCTCTTATTGATCACTAGTAACGGTGTACCTTCATATTCTTTCCAAGAAGAAGACCCTATCTGCAATTATGTGCACTGCTATGCTTTCCTTTTCCAGTGAATGTCCAGCTCTCTTTGGATGAAACCTATGCAGATGTAGTCCCTGTTCGTCTGAATGAGAATTCGAAATCTGCATTTGTGTGAGTACATCTCGCGACCTCTAAAATTGAAATACAGTATTTCACTCCTATTTCACTCCTCTTTTCGTATGTTTATGTGCTCAAAGGAGTTACGTGCTCTTGAATACCTTTTGAGTGGCAGCTACATATCAGTCGGAGATCTACGAATCAATGAGAAGTGTGCTAAACAGCGCACTGATCTTTACAGTTCTTGAAATTGCAGCACTTGACGACCTGTACCAGAAACGTCGCATCATGAAAAAACTGCGACACTGCCATTGTTGAGCAGAAGTCATTACTGTTCAATTCAGTATGTGTTCGTAGTAAATGAAGTTATCACAAAATTAATCTGAGGACAGCAGACTTGGTGAGCACTTATAAGTACACACTCAAGTGGTCTTGGCTGACTGGACGAGTTTTTTTTCTTCTCCTTCTTTTAATTTTCTGCTTGGACGTTTGGCTCAACAAACCTTATAGATCACGGTTTTGTGTTGTTCAGAAAACTGTCATAGCAAACTTGATTTTTTTTTTCTGATGTACACCCATGTTGCTCGATGTGATGTTTCGGTGCTTTAGCGCTCATGCCATTGCCTTTACCTCCCTTCTACCATTTGCACTATTTCCTGGCACTCTGAATTGTGATAAATACTCAAAACATCATGGTATACCAACTCCCCCAAATTGATATTCTTGCTAATGTTATCTTTACTCTATATTCACCTTAAGGACAAATGCTAGTTCCGTGCTTTTATGCATGATCCTGCAAAGACTGCCATTCATGTATTGCTGTGTGCCAGGGAAAGTAGACAGAGTGAAGGGCCTATGAAATCAAGAAAGGATGTTTTGCTTGACAATCAATAGTCAGCTTGTCTACAGGTCCATCATGCGTGGCTGCAACAACATGTGCTCCTATTGCATTGTTCCATTCACACGTGGTCGAGAGAGAAGTCGCCCACTGGCAAGCATCTTGGATGAAGTGAAAGCCCTATCGGATCAGGTGAGTACTATTATGCTCGTTTGCAAGTCAAGACCAGTGCAGCTTTCTGCTGTCAGAGGACTCGCTTCAATGGCGTCGCAGCCGACCTCTTCGGGCTGCAATCACGGGAGGACTAAAAGCTTGTTCTTTCGTGCTTACAGAGCTCAACAAAAGTGGGCGCCTCCGCTGTTTATGACAATCCATCGGCGTCGCCAGTGAATTGCGCTCTCGCAAGCTTATTTCGATGCTGTTGATTCGTATCACATTTTCAACTGCTTTTTGTGTGTTGAGTGCAGTGTATGGTAAAAGCAATCGGCTTAGATAGAGAACATATTCATAATCAATTGGTTCAGGGAAAAACCAGAAGAGCAGACATTTACAGTTAGCGATGAACCTGCAATTCACTACTCCGGCCAACCAATGAACTCTTTCACATTTTGTATTCTAGCGGGGAAACAGAAAAAATAGAGCAAGATTTTACATTTGCCCATAATGAAAGCTTCCAGAGGCACTGCTTTACTCTACGGATGCGCTCATCTAAGCTTGGGTCCAAGCTCTACCTTTAGGCGCAACACCATGACATCATGGTAACACAGCAACAGCATTGATTAAAGGGCGGTCCTTTGACGGCGAAAAGCTGTACTGCTCCTGACTTGAAACTGAGTGTCATCATCATTAGCCGGACCATGCTCAGTGCAGGACAAAGGCATCTCCCATGTTCCGCCAGTGAACTCGGTCATGTGCTTGCTGCTGCTGCCACTTTATACCCGCAAACTTCCGAATCTCATCTGCCCACCTAGCTTCCAGTTTCCCCTTCACCCGCTTGCCTTCTCTTGGAATCCAGTCTGAAATGCTTAATGACCAGCGGTTATCTTTCCTTCGCGCTATGTGCCTTGCCCATGATCATTTATTCTTCTTTATTCCGACTATGATGTCCTTAACACCTGTTTGTTCCCTGATACACTCCACTTTCTTCTTGTCCCTTAGGGTTATTCCCCTCAGAACTGAATATAGGAGCACCTTAATAGATCTTGCAGAGCCACTTAGAGTGTGGTACTATTCATATCATAAATAGGGTAATTCAGAGTGAAGATCTGTTAAAAATAGATGCTGTAGAGGGCATCATGTCTTTCCATGTGTATTACCCTCTTTTTTTCGTTAAACTGCCCACTCGTGTCATGGTATAAAGTCAACTTTTCAAATGAATGATCTGCAGGTTGGTTGCGTACCTGAATATGAATCCTGCTGTTAGGTTTGTTAGGTTTACTCTTGATTCCTTCACATTAGGTATATATGAATATTTGAAAACTTTGATTATTCAAATAAATATTACACCATTCAAATTCACTTTGACACAAACCTAAATTATTCAAAATTTTGAAGTATTTGAAACGAATGAGTAAGTGCTTAAAAACCGTAGGTAATGCCTTGTAAAGGTGGTTTCGCTGTAGCAGAAGAGTGCGATGCTGGAATTTATATACTCAGGGAAAATTTGCACTGCTGCAAAGCCCCTCTTCGAGGTTAAATTAACTTACTACCCTCACATCAATTCGTCATTTTTTTTTAAGTTCAAGAGCTTGTAATACCGGCTTATATGCTGAAAGGAAGGGAAATTTTCAAACATATCATATTTTACCGGTTATCACTTGCATCTTACGGAAAGTCTAACCAAAAAGAATGCCATTCGCATGCGCCTTGTTTCAATTTTAAAAAGAAATTTGAAGGCTAGTTTAACCATGACAAATGCGCTTATTTTTTTAGCAATACATGATATGCACTGTTCAAACTATTCGAGAAAAAAAATTGTTTGAGAAATCACTGTTTGCTTCAAGTTTAGTTTGAACCCAAAATTTACAGTTCGCACATTCCTACTCCACACGCAGTAAAGCAGCATGTTGAGAGAGTATTGATTCAGCCAGCTCCACCAATATATGCAAGAGTGTTCTATCACTAAAAGTTGACACCTGTTAACTGAGTGCCTATAACACGAAATCAATGCACATATGCCACTTTTTTCATCAGAAACATTGCTAAGCTGTCTCGGTTCACAGGAGGCTAAAAAAAATAATTAAGGACAAAATATGTGGCTATTGGGTGTAGGTTTCATGTGCTCGTAAATATATGCAATTGTGCTGATTCAGCATACCTAAGCACCCATTTATGTGTATTCACTCACATGTCAGATATCTTTTCGGAATCCTGTATTTGCAACGTGGCCGTTCTTTCCGTTTCTCACCAGGGCGTTAAAGAGGTCACCTTGCTGGGGCAGAATGTTAACAGCTACCGGGACATCTCAGCTGAAAGCCAGGCCTTTATTGAGCGCAGCAAAGATGGTCCGGAAATCTTGAGTCGAGGTTTCCGCACCGTCTACAAGTTGCCTGTTGGCGGTCTGCGATTCGCTGATCTCTTAGACAGGGTCTCGCAGGTGGACAGAGAGATGCGCATTCGCTTCACCTCACCCCACCCGAAAGATTTTCCAGATGAGGTAAGCCTAACACTCTGTGTTATGTTGTGAAACCTCTCATTAAGTTGACTGTTGTAGACAGGTACTCATGCTGTGTTCATGTTTCCTGGATATGCTATAAATTTTAAATACTGGAACAGCTCAGCAACATCATAAAAAGTTCATGGTATTAGTGTTATAAGTATAATAGTACTAACAGTAATACTACATTTTGAAATAATAGCGTTACAACTGACAAAAAAAAATAAGAAGAAAGATGCAGGCTGACTATCGCGACTGAGAAAGGCACAGTGCCTGCCTATTCTTTAGTAAGAAGGAAATGGAAATAGAAAGCAAAAAAGGGGCAGCAATAGTCAAAAGACAAGGAACACAGACAAAAGCAAAGTAGAAAAAGAACATACTTGCTTGAAAAGAAAAGCAAAATGCACTAAAAAAAATGGGAGCTCAATTTTGTGAGATAAAAAGTTTTAGGTACATTAGCCAATGAGAAACGAAAAAGGGCAACACAGATACCACCTTTCAATAGAAATGTTGCTGTGCAAAACTTCGCAACACTTCAGAAAATGAAAACTATGAGCACACTCAAATAACAAAGCACCAACCCAGAAAGCATCGAATGATGCAGCATTTATGGCGTGCGATCTCTCTATAAGCCATATTTGTTGTGTCCCTAAACAGGTGCTGGAAGTGATTAGGGACCGGGACAACATCTGCAAGCAAATCCACCTGCCTGCGCAGAGTGGGAACAATGCTATTCTTGAAAGCATGCGCCGAGGCTACACACGCGAAGCATACCTGGAGCTCGTGGACCGGATACGTGACGTTCTACCAAGTAAGGCATACAACCTGCACGTGTGCTTGGGAAATATTGCTTTGGCAATACAGTCCTACAGCAAACACCATTTTGTATTGTGCTGTTGGCCAAAGATAGTTGGCTCCAGCAAAATTCTTCTACAAACAAATTCAGTATTGGTACAAGAACTAGACAGCATGTGCGTAGCATTATATGCAAGTTGGTGCATGTAGAAGTGTTACTCATGATTTGTTGTTTAATATGTTTGCTTTCATTGTCTTACTAAAATCTCATGTATGGATCTTAGTCTTCTCTGTTCTTTTGTGTACTTTGGTTGGGTTTTCCTATCTCCACAGGGAATACTTTGATCTGCTTGCGATGTAATGTGGCCCATTGCATAATACTTATGCCTAACCATGCAACCGGTCTCATCGACTGAGATATTGTTATCGTAGAAAACTGTGTGCTTGTACTTGGGAATCCTGTGTACATACATACCACAGAGGTTGGTAGCGTGCCTACCTGTCATATGCTGCGTCTTTTTACTGTTCTTCCTTAGATGTGGCCTTGTCTAGCGACTTCATATGTGGCTTCTGTGGCGAGACTGAAGCCGCCCACGAGGATACCATGTCTCTGGTAGATCAAGTGAAGTACAGCGTAGCCTACGTGTTTCCTTACAGTCTCAGAGAAGTATGCCTGCCATCAATATTGTCTATCAATATATCTTTTTGTGACGGCTGTTTTGAACTGATCAGGGATGATTGTTCTTTCCTTAAAAAATAGCTCATGAAAACACCCGTTGCTCCCTGTAAATTATGCTTGCCAATGCTGTTGTTTTCAATGAACAGTTACAGGTTATGGTTCTGCATGTGATGTCACGTGGAGCATCGAAAGTGCAAGGCACTACTGGCGTTAACATCAAACAATGTTTCTATGCAAGCAGTAGAATCCAAATATTTTTGATGAAATTAATGGTTGGTGGTACATCATTTGATTAGGTATTGAAGGGGTACTGACACGAAATTTTTCACTTACTGATTTTTTTTTGCGTCAAATGATAGGCCAAGCCTCTGAGAGCATAGCAAATGTACCGGTATGCATGAGTGCGCCCTTACAGCATTATTCTAAAAACTAGTTTCGGTTCCTTCTGTACCCTGACGTTACGACATGGTATGAGCAGCGCCACCAGGTCCGGAAGCTTTTGGGACGTGTCCACGTGCCCGCGTCGCTTCTTCGATCATCTGCTTCGTCTGCTGCTCGCCTCACGAGTGGCAACTGTCGGGGCAGGGGGGCACAATGTTCTTTGCCACCAATCTGAAGTCGGTCAGCAACTGCACGTTGCACATGTACCTGTCAGGAATGAAGTGCAGGGAGCAGAGTAACTCCACTTGGTTGGCATTTAGCTGTAGCCAACTATGCCAACTCAGCCTTGGCCGCAGCACACGAAGTCGACTCACGCTTGTCTCGGCACCAAATCGTACGGAAATCGGTAGAGATTTCACCTATTGTCCTCCGTTTCACTGGCGGAAGTCTTCATAGGGCAAAGTATTGACATCATAACGACAAATTCAAGATAAAATGATTTCTTTGTCTTCTGACAAAAGCATAAATCTTGTATTCGCGTGCATGTACACTGTTCCAGACTCTGCCAGCTCACTTAGCAGATACTCTAGATGGCAGTGACTGCACAGCGCTAGTCGACAATCGTGTAGGTGACGCACAAACTGCCATTTTTTCTGTTTTGATGCTGCGTGAAGTCACCGGGATTAGTACTGTAGTCTGACGAAACGACGATAGTTATAGTGCGAAAACAAAACAACGACACAGAGACAAGAAGGACACAAAAGACACAAAAGTCCTTCTGTCTCTGTGTCGTCGTTTTTTTTCAAGCTATAACTATCGTCATGCCATGCCAACTAGCCCAAGCTACCACACTTCTAAGTCAAGTTAGTGTCGATGTCGGTAGGTGCGTTGTGAGAAATTTGACTTTGATATCAAAATAAAATATCTTATCAGCATTTGCTGAGCGCCATATTTGCTCAGAGTCGTCTCCGTATATGGCAGATTTGTATGGCAGAGTAAACTTGCCTCCTAAATAAGGTGTCAGTACCCCTTTAAACCTAGTAACCTAATCTCGTGAAAAAAAAAATTATGACAAAAAAATGTTTGGTTGCTGAGTGTCAGGTGTCGTGGCTCCCATATAAGAGCTGAAACATCTGAGAATGATGTTGATATAGTACTGTTATTTAAATGTAATGTTCTTTATGGTTGCCATAGTTTCTTTTCTTTCTGACTTTCTACACTGGCCGTTAATAGTTTGTCATGTCCTGAATAGAAACATTAATGATATTTTGTATTTATGTGATACATCCCTGCTGGGAAACATTTTAGTTAAGGTAATTTGTAGCTTTATTCATTACAATGCTTATTGGCTCTAACCTATCAAGACTTCTTTACAGCTGAGCTTTTCTTAATACTGACTGTGTCTTTATTTTCTTATTTCAGCTTTCAATTTGTTTATCAGCAGCTCAGACAGGTCTTTTTTTTCACAAACGAAAGATTGGCTCATCTCTTAGAAAATTGTATATTCTACTGCACTTATTTTAAGGGCTATGCATAATGGCTCCACTTTATCAGCTCTAGTCGGATACAACTTTTGAAGTCCAAGGCATTTGCTGCTCAAAGGCAGGCGCACATAAGCCTGCGCAGGTGGGCTAACACTACAGGCTGACTTCATTAGCTGGACAATGAGTGACGTTGTACTTTAAAGAACATTTACAAATGCATGAGAAGGACTGTTTCTCCAGCACAGGAGGCCATTGGCTGGCTCGCTTCAGTCATCTGAGAAAGGCCTCTCTGGACTTCATATGTTGCACAATACGAATATAGTGCAGCTGCAGTTTTTGTTCTTCTAGTTTTAACTATGCTAGGTTTAATTATGAAAGGCTTCAAGCATATGTTGCACCTGGTTGACCTAGTGCCATTGGCACTCTTTGTGACTTTGTAGAAAACACACGCACATCGTCGTCTCGAAGACAATGTCCCACTCGATGTCAAGAAACGCAGAGTTGGAGAAGTGTTGTCCCTCTTTCGTCGTCATGCTAAAGAGCTCTTCGACCAACAAAGTTTCGTCGCATCAGCTTGTTCTGGTTGAAGGAGTAAGCAGACTCATTTCTTATGCTCTATGATGTTTTGTACAACACATATTGTGTAACTGCAATGCAATGTTCCAAATGTACAAAGAATAATCAAGAGGTCTGTCTTCAGGAACCTGTTTGGTTAATGCCATCAGCCGTCAATAAGCAGTTAAGAAGAAGTCTTCATGTAAAATTTTCAAATATTTGCCCTATTTACATAAATGTCTCTATTGCATATCACCATTGCTGATTGGATAAAATAATTCGTTTTTATAAATAGCTTGGCCAAACAGCTTTTGGTCCTAATGTGTAGACGTCATATCAATGTGTAGACGTCATATCCCAATGTGTAGACGCCTTTGAAATAGTACTGCTACACTGATTGCCATGAAATATAAAATTGTTCACCAAGACGGGTACATACATTTTTGAAAGCCTTATGTTCATTGGTAGCACCTTTTCAACTACAACACGACATTGTCTTCTGGTTTTCCTCACCGAGCAGTTTCAAGGGAAAATTGTAGCTGCAATTAATATCATAATTTGATTAATTACAGTGATATTCAAGGACTCTACTTTAATAATCTATATCTAAAGTCAACGATCACATAATGTATCAGAGCTAGACAATATGGAAAAAGGAATGCCTACACTGTTATTGACGCTGGCACATTAATTTGTTGATGGTAGGATTGTTCATTATTGCGTGTTGAAAGCCACACAGTGTCACTGATTTCATGCAGCTCAGTGAGCAACACAAGTTTTTGAAGTTATGCTGAAGCAGCCTTTTCAGTCAAGTAAAACAATCAAGAATCATACCTTTCCCTCACCACCCTGTATGCTTATCTAGATTTGTCAACATGCGTGGTTTGCAAGCACTAAATTATTTGCTTTCAAGTCACCCATGCCATTTTTTATTTTCCTGCTTTTTACAACAGAGTAGTCGCCGTTCGCCAGAGGACATGGCCGGCAGAAATGACAACAACGTAAAGGTCGTATTCCCGAAGATTCTCGTCCCAGAACAACCATCGTCTTCAGTGAAAAAGCAGATTCAACCGGGCGATTATGTAGTTGTTCAGGTATTGCAACTTCCAGTGGAAGCCACTCCTCTCTCTCTCTCTCCTCTTTGTGTGTGTGTGTATCAACAGGTGACAGAGTGTCACATGTCTACTTTTCTAGGAAAATCTTGTACTGCCTGTTGTGTAGATTAATCACAAGGCAAATTATGGTCCCTCAGGTAAACTGCTCGGTCACTTATGCCAATTTTTTTCATAGAGGTAGCATATTGTACTGAGTTTAGTTTGCTATGGCGCAACATTTGTAGCATTGACACTTTGAACTTCTATGCTATGAAAGCTGTACTAGCCTACCAGCCTGGACTTGCCTCTGCCTGTATAAAGCCTCTCCATACAGCCCCAAATGTTCATGCAGAAAGTGTAACGAGGCTGTGCATGTGTGTTTTTCAGACACACTCTTATTAGGCGCTCACAAAACTGCCAGTTTTGTCCCCATTCTCCTTGGACGATGTTCTCGTGCACCACTGCACAATATGTCATTGAAGTCTATTGCGTTTCATGTAAAATTAGCCTGTGTGCCGCACCACAATGTCAAACCTAGAAGAGGAGGAAAGAACTTAATGTTAGAGAAGAGATAGAAGGGGAGCCTGGTTTTATGGGGGGGGGGGGGGGGATGCTATCTCAGAGCCTTGGAGGCTGCGGCTGTTGCCGTCTATTGTCTGTTATGCCAGCCTTTACTGCGTATCTTTTTCTGCACATTGCGGCTTTTTTGCTCCCTCTTTGGGCGAGGGGCAGTTGTAGGAATTCTGTTGTGCCTCATTCGGTGCACAGTGAAGTTCGCATACATATGTGTGAACTAGAAATGTCCAAGCAATATGTAACTCAATTCAAGGAAATGTTAATTAGAATGATAATTCTGTAGTCGGCACAGCCAAACCTAACCTAACGTAAAGGACATATGTAAAAGGGACGGTACTTATTATTTCAACAAAGAAAACAGAAAAAACAATGTTTGTGGCAATCGTACTGGACGACACATCTGTTTTATTGCTTCGGAATCAACATGTCTTTAGTGGTGATGGCGCAATGTACTCTAGGATTTATGCTTGAACAAGCCAGTAAGAAGTGCTTTGTAAAGTGAAATTAAACTTAGCTAGCTATAAAATTGTGCCTCTGTGCGGAATTTTAGTGCAGGCAAACAAGCAAGTTAGCAGAACTGTATTAGCATCTTTAATTGGGCTGGTTGGTATATAGTACTGACTTTAAATGAAGAAACAGGACTGGAACAGGACAGAGACGAGAAGACGCCGTGTTTTTGTCTTTTTCGTCTTTGTCCTGTTCCTGCGTAGTTTCTTCATTCAAAGTTAGCAGAAAGATTTTTGCATACCTGGCTAGTTCAAAAGTATGTCCTGTTCTTGTAATTCACAATGTTCTTCTTTCAGATTCAAGATTGCTCGAGCCAGGTGCTCAAAGGCATGCCATTGTATGCCACTTCTCTGCAAGAATTTATGGCTGAAGAACGGGAACAGGTGCGCTTGAGGCATGTATAGTCGGTCTATCTTTCTCACTGGAATAAAATATGTGCTATCAGGTTTTCTATTGGCAATATAATGAAGCTTATTCGTGAACATGTCAGTATTATTTAGTACACATGCTTAAATATGCCTTCCCAAGCAGTGTTTCAGGCTACTATGAGATGACCCAGCCCACAGGTAAATGCATACATACTTACAATGTAAAAATTTGGCAAGGGAGGGTTAGAATGCTCAATCCTCTCAGCTATAAACATAAAACTACGCCTGCATACAGGACACAAAAATAAAAATGGAGACGGGACCAGCACAGACTAACAACTTGTCAATATGTCAGTTGTTCATCTGCACTGTTCTTGTCCACATATTTCTTCTTGTGTCCTGTATGGTGGCGTAGTTCTATGTTACTCACGCCATACCAATTAGTATCCCACTGTACCCTTCTTAATCCCCTTGGCTATGCTTATAAAAATATAAGGTTATTTGAAAATTGGAATCAAGGAAAAGTGGTGGAAACAAAACTGCATTTTTAAGTGTACCTTGCTTTGCGACAATCTTGCCCAGCTTTTTTTTTTCTTTTCTATTCTAGCTGAGGGCCTATGTGACATTTGCATCACTATGCCCACCTAACTTAATCAGTCTTCTGACCTAGTAGTTTCATAAAAACATAATTCTTCAAGTGGGCATAATGTTACGCCTGTTTTGTTTATCACATTTAAAATGATAGTGTACATGTCAAACCTTCAGCCCAATACATCGTCTAGAACACTGTAACATCATCTATGCAGAAGACACAAACCTGTTCTTTTCAGGTACTTAAAAAGATCATTTTGTGAATATAGATAACTCAGTATACAAAAGATATGCATCTGAAAAATTAATTAGTCATAGATGCCTCCAAAACAAAAGCTGTCCTTTTTTACTCCCAGTCCTTACCTAATGGGGTCACTAATTGCTACAATATGTTAAACAGCAGCCAAATTGAGTTCTCATATATTGTGGTATCTTTAGGTGTTATTTTTCATGAACATATGAAATGGGATCACCATACGGAACTTTTATACACTAAACTCTGCAGAGGACTAGGTGTATGAACAAAACGTTTACATGTATTACTAGTTGCTCAAAAACTTTAGATATTTAATGTGCTATTCTTATCACATCTGCCTTATTGCAACTTAATTTGGAGTAATGGATCAATGAAACACATAAGTAATTTCAGTATCCTACGAAAAAAAAAAGGCTCTACATTCTATTGGAAATCTTTCTTTTATTGCCCACACATCACAAATGTTTGTTAAATATAAGATAGTAAAATTAAACCTTCTCTATAAATACTCTTTATTAATCTCCTTCATGTCTGATGCCATTAAGGGGAGATGTGAGTAAAAAAACACAACTTTTTGTTTCCAAAATTACATATTTTTTTGTTTTCGTTTACTTTGACAAGTTAGGTTTTCTACTTTGGCAACAAAAACTTAAGATTGCAATTAAACTCAAAGTAGGTTAAAATCGCTTTCAAGGAGCACAAAGTGGCTGCTGAAAACAAAAAGGAGCTCGTTGTCTTGATTCCCCTGGAAATTGTCACCTGGCTGCTTGCCATTGCATTTCGCATGAGCAGTTCACACATGCTCAAAATAACAATTATTGCCAAGCTCTCATGATGAAAGAAGTTATCTTAACATATATATTCCACATATATGAGCTTTCATTCACACCTTCAAAATGTATTTTTTAAGATTCATTTTTGGGCAATTTCTTTAGTTTAGACATCATGTTTATGACATTTCTGATAGCCCAATTGGGGTCAAAGTTTTCCCACATACTCCTTAACATGTGAAAAGTGCAAGTATGCCCTTTGAAACTTGATATGACTTGTATAATTATTGCAAAACTAAAGCAAACACTTGGTATGGGCCCAGGATCACATTACAATTTTTCTTGTCCATGAAAATGTCTTATACATGCTTTCTTGATAGTTATTTAGTACATTCTACTGTTAATTTAGAGCAATATGAGCCATCAGTGCCTGAGAACCACAAATGTTTAGTGACATAAAAAGTTTGTCCAAAACCAACTATACATTACTCCTTTTAAGGCACAAAACTAAGGCTGTCCAACTTACCATAACACTAAACACATATTTGATATCACCATAAAAGCCTCTACATACAGCAAAAAATTCATTGCTCTAGACTACAGATCACCACAATTCTTTTTTTTTTTTTTTTTCAAATTGCATCTCTCCCTAAAAGTCGCAGTTATATGCACATTTTAGCTAATCTTTCTGTGCACCTGAACTGGCACTCTGCACATTGGTACGTTCCGAGGCCATGTACTAACCATAGTTATGAGGCATTTCGCTTAACCCAAATACTCTAATCAAATTCGAAATAAATTGTGGAAATATACGTACTCCTTCAAATACTAATATTTTGAATATGCTTTATTATACATCTCTTTATTAATATTTCCTTTTTGTATAACTTTTTTTCAATGCATAGCATGTGCATTGCTAGTTTGAATTGTGTTTAAATTTGCCTTGACGTTTGCCTGTCATGTTGCCGCAGTGACTCTTGAACTTGGGGCATTGTTAAAGGGACCAACAACTGGTTTTTTTTCAACACATTTTTTTCCGGCGCGGCCGAAAGCTTACCCTTCACAGTGTTCGCAGTGGCAGTAGTTACTCCCGAAAATGCGTAGTTATTTTATAAGCAGTATTTTTCGATTTGAAAGGCTCTCAACATAGACGTGCCTTTCTGTTCAACAACGCTGAGAATCGATAGCGATGTGGGTAGTCCCTCTAGCGACTTGTGCATGCTGTTCACAAGAGTTCCTGTAACTATGCTTAAACACGTTTATTCTGAGCATTACAACTATTTTTGAAAATAACAAGCCGTTACAACGAGACAATATGGCTTTATACAGCTTCCCTGTATCTGTACCGCGTCACGTGCGCCTGTGCTTAAGGTTGTTGCCCTTCTGTCTTGGAAGGCTTCTCCCGTCGTCGTTACTCTCTCGACACATGAGTCAAGCCAAGTCATCGAAAACGTCACTGCGCTCATTTCTGAGACAAAGTGTTAGTTAAAAAGAACCTTGTCACCTTCAAGATCTTAGTGACCTGAAAATTGCGTGCATGGTTTCATAAGCACGTAGAGAAGTTCCTCAAGACGTGCTGATGAGCACGGGATCATTACATCATACGAAGGCAGCGCTACCTTATTGCTCACTACTAACGCAGACCTATAAGTTCATCTTTATGGACTATTATCTGTTACTATAAAGAAGCAAACAATATTTCAATACTAACAGGAAAATTGACTGCGTTCATTGTCACGTGACAGGGCAGCTCAGATAATTGAAGTTTCTGCCACCAGGTGGTGCCACAGGCTACTGTTGCTATTTTCAATGAAGAAATAAAAATGGAACTTCACATCTCTCGAGAAAAGTAGGGTTGGTTTCAGTCACTGTGAGGGACAATCTTTCCATCTGTGCAGTCGTCTCATTTCGTGTTCTGGGCAGTTGTCGATCCAGATTTTTTCCCTATCCCAACCACTAACTGTAGAACTCTTATGTGGTAAGTAAATAAATGCATGCCAACTATTGAGGACGGCAGTATCATTTCTATCAGCTTCTTATAATATGTACAAAATTTGAGCTCTCTGTGAAAGGTTTTTGGGAAAAAAAGTGGGAAATGTGCGTTTCATTGCCCTATGAGCTTGTTTTAAAAAGCGGGACATGCGCGTCTCACTGCCCAATAAAGGACAGTGGTTTCAGAAAAAAATAGTGCCTTTATTTTTTTTTATGCGAACTTTCTGCTGCCTTACAATCAAGAAAGGATAGAGGCTACAAACGCAAATGCCCTATTACAAAAAAAAAGTCAACTAAATGTCCGTTGTTCATCCACACGCTGAAGCAACTCGAGCAGCAGATGTGGGTACAAGTTATGCCTGCAACAGTTGAATTTTCGTTCATAGAGGAAGCTTAGCTGCTTCCTCCACAGGAAGAGACTTCCCTGCATGAAGTTGAAGTTTATTGTGACATCATGAAAATACAAGTGACATGGTTCATAAGTAGTACAGAAGGAGGTCCCGAAGTAAACACTGTCAGGGGGACCTCCTAGCGATAATGTGTTGATTTGAATACAGGGCAGGCAAATGTCGAGCAAAAGAAAAGCATATTTAAAACACCGAAAGTGAAAAAAACACAAGAAAAAACTAAGATAATTCAAAAGCATGAAATGCAACGATAGTACAGAAACATATATACATTAGTACACTCTGAGACGAATCGACGCGAATTCTAAGTTAACAAGGTGTAAAACAATTCATAATTGCGAAAACACAGTTGCTAAAAAAATGAAAAAGACAAATGAAAATGAAACAAAGAAAAACAAATATGAGTTAAGAAAACGTGAAAGATGGTACTGCTGTGTTGGGCTGGCTGGTCCCGACGAAGCAGAAGAAGAAGACGGCCAACGGAGACGTACGGGACGCCGACCAGCCCGAACACGCGGGTTGGTGCGAAACGCCGAAGGAAAGAACAACAACCGCACTCCACGGTTACCCAGCACACACTGACTTTATTTACAGTCGCCTTGAAAACCTGGATGCCAGAGCGGCGCCCCCTGGCATCCTCACATGTCATTCCGAAACCGAAATCCAGAACACAACAACCATCCCCTCCTCGAAAAAACTTCACCTATACGCTGTTTATATTTATACATGATCGATACAAAAGTATATACAAGGTATGTACGTTAGAACACATGAAAATTCGGAGCACGGCACACCGAACTCACACACTACGAGTCCTGAAAATGCACTGGCAAACAAAAAAATGTACACAACTGTTCGGAACAAGAGTTATGCATCACATAGTCTTTGAACCGACGCGGCTTCTGCCGCTTCCGCTTAGGGTGGGCCCTTTTGGGTGTAGAATCAGGTGTGTCTGCACCTTGGTCACTTGTGCACTGATGTGACACATCAAGAGCAGTGGAATATTGTGAAGGCTCTGAACGAGCGTTAAAATTCGCGGTCTCATCAGAGCTCGCAGCATGAGCTTCGGAAGAATTTTGTGGACCGAAGTCCGGTTCAACGGTCTCGGCCGTATTTGAAGGTTCGAAGTGAACCGTAAGACTTGGTGTACTTGAACCAGCGACACCGACTGGTAACTCCTCCCCCCTTGAAGAAGAAATGTTTGTACATGGAGGCCACATGTAACAGTCTGATGCGTAGTTGAAAGGCGTGGACGAAACCGGATGAGGAAGACTTTTTGGTGTTGAAGGCGAATTCGTATAAAAAATAACAAGGCGCGAAGCATTCCAGATGTTACCATCAGAAGAAGAAGACGGCCGACGGAGACGTACGCGGCCGGCGGGGACGTCGACCAGCCCGAACACGCGGGTTGGCGCGAAACGCCGAAGGAAAGAACAACAACCGCACTCCACGGTTACCCAACACACACTGATTTTATTTACAGTCGCCTTGAAAACCTGGATGCCAGAGCGGCGCCCCCTGGCATCCTCACATGTCATTCCGAAACAGAAACCCAGAACACAACAGGTACCATGAAATGTTAGCAAAGATGTTGAAGTAAATGTTTCTTTAATTGTGCTTTAAATGATGCTATATTGCGGCACATTTTAATGGACGTAAGTAGTGAATACCAGAGGTAAATACTGTAAAACAACGCTGCCTGTTTACCATAGTTTGAGTGCACCACCGGCAAGAGTCAGCTATGTTGTAAAGAAAATCTGTTGTAAGGAAAATCTGGTCGAATTTAGATTTATAAGATAACGGGATGGAATACTGTTTATTTCAATACCATGCTGGCACGCGCGAAATATGACCATACATAATTTCAGAGATATGGAATGATGGGTAGAGAGAATGTCGAGATTACTGTGGATAGGCGTAGCGGAGTCATTCCAGTGACTAAAGGTTATAATCCTCAAAGCTTTACTCTGTAAACGAGTAATCTTGGACAGATGAGCCCTATAGGCGTTTCCCAAGGAAGAACAACATTATGTCAGGTGACTATGAATGAAGGCGAAGTATAGTGAGCGAAGGATGTGCAAAGGGAAGTAAGTGCGAATTTTAATCAGAACTCGAATTCCAAAGGAAATTTTGGACGAAATAGCGGCAATTTGCTTATCAAACTTTAGGTGAGAATCAATGGTATTACCAAGAAACGTGGTTGAGTCAGACGGGAGAATAACATGCGCGTCTATGGTTAGGTGCGGCACGAATGGTATAGTTTTACGTGGAGAGTGAAATAGCATGAATGTAGTTTTAATCGGGTTAATTATGAGCTCAGGTTAATTACGAGGTTAATTACAAGAATAAAAAAAAATTAGATACTGCAATCAGCTGTACACAATGTTAGACGGGCTAGGGTGCCGAAAATATATCGGTAAATGTTTGTAAATTATGCATTGCACAAATTTTTGATGAAACTGTATAAGGTGAAACGAAGAAAACCACTATAATAGAGCCAAAAGTGAACATTTAGCAGGAGTCTGCCTGGTTTTGATAGAAACAGGAGAAATGAAAAACACTCCAAACAAAAATTTATTTTAGGAAAACGTTCCTTTCGACACATCTAGAGCCTTATCACTCTTAAGAAAGAAGCCAGACTGCCTTTTTCCTCAAGGGTGATAAGGCTCGAGATGTGCAGCGCTTATATACGGTCGCTTGCTGTGCGTGGCTTCTCACCCTTGCGAAAGAAGTGAGTCCGGCATCGAAAATAAATTTTTGGTTGGTGTTTTCACATTTCTTCACTAAATAGTACAGTCATAAACTTATGAGTATGGAATAACCTTTTCAAGCGTGCCTCTTATGTTGAATCTGGCTGATGAAGAGCGTGCTAAAATCTGATTTAAAAGAATACGGCACATGCAAGTGGAATGGTTGTATTGTTAGTTTTTAACTTGTGTACTACTACCAAAAACACTTTCTAGAACCTCAATGTGGTTGCACTAAATGTCTGAAAGCAATCGGTTCGGTGGTTTTGATCTAAATACAGTGTTGACCACTTACGACGTAACCCCTTATAAGTGCAGAGCCATTTACAATGCAGTTTTTTTTTCGACTCCCGTTTACCTCCCATAGAACACCATATGTAGACATACTGCTTATTGTGCAGTCCTTCAAGATGAAAGACCGTTTGTAATGCGGTTGCTGGAAAAGCTTTGTCGCAAACATGGTCGCGAGTGCACGTTTGAAAGGAGGCTGCTGGGAGCGGGTGAAGAGGTTGTTGGCGGAGTGGGCGGAGAGGAGGAGAAGAGGACGCGGAGTGAATGAACGAATGGTGGAGGGAAAAAAATATTATTAGAACTACAGCTTTTTAATCATATAAAAGTCTTCTTTCACATTTTAGTTTTTTATATAACAAAAATTATCATATTCTATTTGGAAAAATTGACTTTTCTCTTTGTATTTTGCTTAATATTCTCATTTACATTAACTGTCGGCTTCTTTCTCAACATGTTCTTTCTTTCGGTGCAACTACTCTGGGATGCAGCCACAGGCATGTTTTCTTTGCTGTTCAAGCAAAGAAAACATTCCTATGACTGAAACTCTAGCTAAATTCTGCGTGTGTTACATATTTCATTACTTGTAGTTGATACTTCAAATCAGTAATAAATAAACTATTGAACCTAAGAATCACACAATACAGACAATATCGGAAAATGCGTCTTTGACTCGGCCAATCCCTTCTAATGATGATGATGATCTCGTATGGATGGCGTTCGCCCAAAAAAGGAGGTTTGGTCAAGAACCGGGAGGCAGGATGCTTAATGGACACTCTCTATTTTTCCAACGCAATGTGCGGATTTTAAAAAGAACCCCAGTAGAGGGTACGAGCCAGATGTAAGGAATAAAGGAACAAACAAAACGACAAGGTAATCGGAACTTCAACATAAATAAACAGCAGCGAAACGCCGGCGCAGAGAAGAAAATCTGGCCTTACCTTGGAGCAGCAGAAGGAGCTCGCCGTCGGCAACATACGAAGTGCACAGTCTGCAGGACGCCATTGCAGTGCTGCAACAAGAATTTCCCGCAACATCGCGAACAGATTACACTGAGTACGTGCTTTATGGCTCAGCGTGCAGATTCGTTAATAGCTGGAAGGGCCCCGAGAATGAGCGTAACACGTGGCTCCCGCTCCGGAAACGCTTCTTCTGCGATAGACGCTGTACTACAAGCTCGCAAGGAGCGAGAACGTGCGCTCGCCCGCGAAAGGCAACGCCGACGCAGGGCCAACAAATCTGTACGCGCTCGAGAAGCAGCAGCCGCCTGCCAGCGCAGGCAAGTCAACCCTGAACTGAAGGCTCAGAAAGCTCAGTGCATGCGGCAGAAGCGACAATCTAATCCGGATCTCCGACAAAGAGAAGCAGCAGCCAAACGCCGGCGCGGAGAAGAGAATCCGGACCTTCTGGCAGCAGAAGCAGAGGCTTGCCGTGCCCGCCGGAAGGAACGCCATCTTCCTGACGTGGGATCCGACGCACGTATCAAACGTGTCTTCCTAGACCGGCGCTTCGACCATAGCTACCAAGTGTGCGAACGCTTATGCTTTGACAAAGCGTTTACGAAAATCCGCAACATACGAAGCGCACAGTCCCGAGGCTATGTCATGGAAGCGCTGCAACAAGAATTCCCCGCTACATCGCGAACAGATTACAGTGAGTGCGTGGCTTGGTCAACCAGTCTAGGAGGTGATGGCTCAACATGCGAAAATTCGTTTATAGCTGTAAGGGTCCCCACAATGAGCGTAACACACAACTACCTCTCCAGAAACGCTCTTTCTGCGATGGACGCTGCACTGCAAGCACGCAAGGAGCGAGAACGCGTGCTCGCCCGTGAGAGACAACGCCGACGCCGGGCCAGTGAAGCTGTACGCGCCCGGGAAGCAGCGGGCGCTCGGCAGCGCCGGCAAGCGAACCCAGAACTGAAGGCCCTACAAGCAGCAGCGGCACGCCACCGCAGGCAAGCTGACTCTAGCATCGTCAAAGCCCAAACCGCAGCTGCGCACCAGCACTGGAAAGCCAAACCAGAACTGAAGGCCCAGGAAGCTCAGTACATGCGTCAGAAGCGACAAGCTAATCCGGATCTTCAACAGAGAGAAGCAGCAGCCAAACGCCGGCGTAGAGAAGATAATCTGGATCTTCTGGCAGCAGAAGCAGAGGCTCGCCGAAAGGAACGCCGTCTGACTGACGGGGGAGGAGCCGACGCACGCTTCAGGCGTGACTTCAGTGAGTACTGTATGCTTACCATGCAAAGATTCGTTGGTATACCTGTTTATAAAATTATGGACAATCTCCCCGAAGGGAACCACGATGGGATGTGAAGCAGCAGAGGTGCGCACGCCGTTGACCCGGCTGAAGCGGGCGTTGACGCGGGTGCTGGAAGAGCGGTTTGAAGCCAAACTCGGTGTAGCCTTTACTCGAGTAAACGTTTCTTGGAAAGGCAGACACGGGAGGTCGGTTGGGTTTCGTGCAAGTTTCATCGCAGATAAACGAGCAGAAAGAGTGTTTCAACTCGACGTGTGGTCGAGTGGTGCGAGCGGTGGACAGGGTGGAGCGAGAGAGAAGTGAGTTGCGAGCGGGCAGAGGAGCAAGTGTGGGGAGGAGCCAAGGTTTTAAAACGTTGAGAGGAGCCGGCAGCTACTGCGGGTGAAAGAGAAAGCGACGTTAACGCGCCGTGCTCCCGACCGGGCTGCAGAAATTAGGTGCCTTTCTCCTCTTCCAACCAGTACCACCACCACCACCTAATTGTCAGCGTGGGGGGAACGTGGTGCGGCGCGTTGGCACGGAGACACGGATGGACAGTGTCACACAGGCTAGAAAAAGAGCTGCTTCGCATCTGAAATTATATAATAATAATGTCGCGTTGCAGAAGAGTGGTACACGCGGCACGGAAAGCGGCCAGTGAATTGTGAGGGCGTCCTTGAACAGGTTAATTAACATGTCATATGCCGTTTGGCATCAGACCTGTTAATTATCCAGTCCCCAAAGATTGGGTACGTCGGAAGCAAGTAGATGGTGTAACGGAGCAGCTATTTAGGCGAGGTTCTGTATATTGACGAATATGAGAGGTGGTGAGTCCAAGGAAACCTCATTTTCTCTGGTTCTTAGCGGCGTCGCTCACTACGTGTCCCAAGACCTTGATCGATGTATTAGCTGGCAAAACTGCTTTTTGTAGTTTTGAGTGGGAGACAAGCTCCAGCAAGGCACGTCAAAACCTCACCTAGGCATTGCAGATGCATGCTGAGTAAACGGTGACGAAAAGATAACAATGATCATCCAGGTTGCAGATGGCAGGTTTTTCATTTTAGGCCGCGTAGTACGGCGCGCAATTTATGCGGTCATAAGCACTGTTTCACGGAACGGCGTTCCAAGGAACGATGTTTCAGGAACTAGTTCATCTTGCAAGGAACGGAGGAACGCCATCGTTCCGTTCAGGGTCAGAGCTCGTTACGTTTACGACGGAATGGCAGAGGAAATAGCGGCGTTCCTTTGGTAAATTTTGTAAACGTTCAACGGCCTTGGACAGGCACGCACGCACAGCACATAATTCAGAACAGAATGGATGTGCCACCGCGTAAAACGAGAAATGTACCGCCCACCTTTCACGTGACTGTGACGCGTCCTAGTTTTGACTCCAAGGCGCACGCCGGGAGGGGGGGGGGGGAGGGCAGGGAAGCGCGTAACAGCAAGACCGACCATGTGCGAGAGGAATAGTTGGTTTTCTCTCTCTCTTTCTCACTCTCTCTTTTTACGACAGAGCTAGCTGTTACGCTCAAGGTTGGCAGTGCGTCTTAGAAACAAAGTTAACGTCATTAATCGGCACGAGCTCTTTTCGTCCTCGTTCTTTGATTGATTCTCCTTTGCTTCCAGAACACGTGCGTCGGTTTCTATGATGTAGAGTCTAATAACTCTGATGCGTGAGAGAATGAGTACAAAGAAAAAAAAAGCAGGAAGAAAAAGAAAAGAGAAATTCCTGACGAAAAAAAAAAACTCTCGGCGAGGCGAGATTCGAACCCGCGATCCGGAGGCGTGCGTCGTAACCACTTGGCTACTGAGATTTTCTTTTTCCCTCAGGGTATTTTTTCAACATAGGCATGTCACTTGGAAGCAATTGAATACGTTCGTTCTGTTCGTATTGAGACACAAGGACGAAACGCTAAAGTATTCGCTTTCAACTCTATAGAGTGAACAGTGGCGGATCAAGAGGGAAGGTGTAAGGGTGGTTCTCCCCCCCAAGCCTGTGAGTACCCCCTCTCTTCAGTGCTTGTCCTCCACCTGCTATCACCCATTAGGACAAATGAGTGGGATCCCTTCGAGCACATAACAGTGTTTATGCTATATGGTAGAGTTTGTGCTAGTAAAAACAAAGTAGTGACCACACCCCCTCTTTGGTGTACGATAAGTGATCGCACCCCCCCCCCCCCCTAAAATGAGTGGTTGGATCCGCCACTGAGAGTAAATAGATCAGTTACGACCTTTTCCAATTATATCTAGAACGGCGACATGAAAAAAAAAAAAAAACCTCACCAATGCAATATGTCGTGCTGGCTAACTTCCCATTTGCTCGAACCCTTCTTTTTAACACCTACCAGTGGCGTCTGGTAGGTGTTCTGTGGTGGCGTCGCGTCAAAATTCCACGCGCTGACGTGCTGCAACGTGTGCGTGTTGTCAGGTCTTCCAGAACAGGAGACGACCAAGGGATATAGCTGAGGGGCGGGTTGCCTCTCGTACGTCTGAGCATGCCAGCAGCGTTTTCAGTAGCAATAGAGTGTGCGATGTCCCGACTACCTGAATGTCCAGATTACCGTAGCGCTCTCATAGAGAAAGGGAAGTAGAATCTCCTCCGATATGTAAAACTCACGTTGGTGACGAGCGCAGGTCCACTGCGGTAATGGACATAAGAGCTATCGTTACGAACGCAAAGAGATGAAGGGGAGACCAACACGTCGCCGTGGTCGATGTCATTGCAGGTAATGGTGACAATTTGCTCTTGAAGCGGTGGCAGTTTGGTGTCTTCCGCAGTGACAAGACGCAATGGCTTGTAGGCGACGTACTACGTCGTCGAGCATGCGAGTGGTCACTGGACGACGCGTTTTTCGGAGCATATATACATAAAATTCATTCTCAAAATTAGATGGATACCGTCAAAAAAAAAAGGAAAAAACATGGACATAGCAAGAGCGAATAGCAAGAGCGCCTGTGCAGCGCACCACTTTTTTTTTTTTCTTTAGATGCTCACATCTGGGGTTTTACGTCTAAAAACCACGATGTAATGAGAGACGCTCCGGAGGTTTCAACCATTCAGGGTGTCTCTAACGTGCACCGATCCTTTTGGCATTTCGCCTCAATCGAATTGTGACCGCAGCAGCCGGAATCGAACTCGAAACTTTCGGGTCAGCTGACGAGCACGTTTTTCCAATTCAGCGGACAACTTTTGATAAGCGCAACCGGCACATGCTGCATATGCTTCACGTTTACAGTGTACTAGAATTGAATAAATGTGTAGTTGAAAGAAAGGAAAAAGGCACTATTTTCTACAGCCCTTGCGGGAACACGGCTCAGCGCTAGTACACCACAGAACACCTACATATTGAGTACACTTTACACCACAGAACGCCTACATACTGAGTACACTGTACGCTTGCTGGATTCTGTGCCGACCGGTTGTGCCCTCGCGATCTCCGACGTCAGCGTAGCTCTGGCCGACTGGGCTAGCCCTACGTCATCTCCTGACGCCGATCTCCGACGACAGCGTAGCTCTGGCCTACTGGACTTGCCCCACGCCATCTCCTGACGCCGACAAGAGCTCTCGCAAGTTGCCCCGTCCTCTGACTGCTGTGACCGTGTTTTCATCTTTTATATCTCTCCTATCCCCCCGATATGTCCTCGCTTGCAGTACCAGTGCATCTCTCTCTCACTCTATACCTTTATAATTCTATCATTTTAATCCCTCCTCACCCCCATTTCTTGTGAGCTACTGTTGAGGCGTCGCACCCTGATGAAGACAGTTACGGGGATCACTTTTCTTTTCCCTCTTATAGCCACATCTCTGAGTACACTGTATACCGAGAGACTCGCTCCCTGGATTCCGTGCTGACCGGTAGTGCCCTCGCGATCCCCGACGACAGCGCAGCTCTGGTCGACTGGGTTGGTCCTAGCCGGCTGGATTAGCCCTACGCCATCTCCTGTCGCCGACAAGAGCTCTCGCTAGTGGTGCCCCGTCCTCAGACTCCTGTGACCGTGTTTCCATCTTTCCTATCTCTCTTATGTCGTCGCTCGCTGTCCTTGCGCATCTCTATATATATATTCTTTTAATCCCTCCTCACCCCCATCCCTTGTGAGCTACTGTTGAGGTGTCGCACGCTGATGCAGACAGTTTGGGAAGTGTTTCGGTTCCCCCGGTGGCACGAACCTTTTCGAGGCAAAACGGTTCGGTTCACCCAATAGCCGCTTAAAACCGGCTTGACTTGGCTTAAAGTGTATAAATAGATGGCGTTAGAATCGGTGTGTTAAAAAACACTTTTCAGGCGATTTGGGCGTTCTTTATTCTGTGGTTCAGGTAGAGTTCCTCACTAGCTTGTGACACACAGTCTGTGGCGGGTTCATCGTATTCTAGTCGTGATGTTTTTTTCTCCGATGTTGGTGTTGGATTGGACTGTAATCTGTTTGAAATGGCGAGAAGCGCCTCTGCCCGTGGGGTCGTGGTCGCTTTCTGTTGTTAGAAAGTGATTCATACGCAAGTCGCTGCCGCTTTTCTTAATTCCTGTGATGTCGCCGTGCTTATCGAGTAGTTAACGTCATTCGCCCGAAGCACAGAATTAACACCTACCAGCCCGAAGTGTTTGCCACCAAATCTACAAGCAATGACAACGAGCATAAAATAAAGGCCTTTGGAACGCGATTTGTGAATATTTGTCTGATGCATGTACTACGCGGATGTATGGTAGGTGCATGCGTGTTGCTTGAGGACCGATCAAACAGCTGGTGTCACTTGGGAGGAAGTATATACTGTGCCAACGCTTTCATTGAAGCTTGTTCTTGCGTAAATGCGCGAGATAGATACGGAATGCACAAGTTGGAATTTGAGAACGTTCTTGTCCGAGTGGCTTCATTAAGCAGTCGCAGATGATGGCAATTTGTTTGCTTAGCAGTGTGTGTTTAGATTGGGGTAACCAACAGTGAAGGTAGTTGTGTGTGGGTGAGGAAATTAGTTTTCTTTGTTGCGGTGCCTTCCAAACAAATCCGTTATTTCTTCTCTTCATTGCGTCGGTCTCTTGATGTGGCACTAAATTTTGCTATGTGCTCTTCGTGACACTTCCTCTCGCTCTAGAATGCTCTAGTAAAAGTTGACGCTAAAGTTCAGCTGAAGTGTTTAAAGTTCCTTGCAGCTAACCACAGCAACATTTCTTTGTCTATGTGATCAGACGGACGCTCGTTACTTGGCATGCTTTTATAACGCAAAACGTTTCTTTTTTTTTTTTTTCATTTACTGAACAGTCCGAAAAAATCGGGGACATTTGTCCCGACTGCGAAATTCGGAATTCGACTGCGAAATTCGGGACGGCTGGTAACACTAGTTTAGGCAAGTGTATAACAATGAAAAAAAATGTAATAAAATAGAAATTTCATTGCTGGGAGCATTGTCGAGCTTCAATTGCTAACCCGTAAAGGTCTTTTTAAAAGTTAACATTGCCGCAATACACCAGTGTCATGGGGTGAAGTGCTTGCAGTGTATTGCAGTAAAGCATACATTATGCGCGCGCGTGTGTGTGTGAAATGGAAGCGTAGCACTGCTATGAGGCCTAATGCGATGCGCCGTGCTTTGTCTCATTACTGGTCATGCGACAGACGGCATGAGCACCAACTTCAACCTTTGTAAAGAGTTCATATGTTCCCCCCACAATTATTTTTTTTAATTGTGGCAAGTGATTCACACTGCAGTAAACTTCTAGTATATCGCATGAATAATTTAAAATTGTTGCATGACCCCTAATAAAGAAGTGAAAGATACCCGTGACAGACTCCTTGGTACTCCAGATTTTGTGCCATCAGATATGTGCTCTAAAATGAAAATGATCATTATTAGTGAAATATATACTCAGGCTAGGTATTGGAGACGATTGTGCATGTTTTGCAAATTTCCTTTTAAAAGCTCATGCTTCACTTTATCGGGCTTTCTTTAGTTATTAAGAAAAATAGCTCCCCAAGAACGGTCTAAAATTAAACACACAGTTTGTCATGGGGCAAGTTGAGCTTAGCAAGAAAATTATTTATGAAAACCATTCTGTCGCATAACTAAGAGCAAGCTGGTTTCAGGAAACATGTTGACCTGGGATGATGGCACGTGTTCACGCATCTTACAAAGGCTGCTTGTTGTTATAATGTGGCTGTAATTGGACAAATGTCTGTCATCAGGTGTGGAGATACATCGCATCACTGATGATCAAATTTTTAAAGAATAGGTTTTCAGGGGATGCTAAAAACTTTTTTTGAAGGGGTGAGTAGCAGAGAGCATTAATTTATTAAAGTCTTCAATTTTATTATGTTAGCTCTGAGGCTTGCAGGTATGTTAAATGAGCATGGTCACATGAGTAACACCTCATAGGTCAATAATTATAGGGTGAACAGTAAGGTATGTATGAAACAGGATTATGCAAATTGCAGAAATAGACATAATGAAGTTGTCGAGAAGACTTTGTTAACAGTACATTTACAGGCTTCACGAAGAATTTGCTTTCTAGCAGGGTGAATTTACTTTTGCTGATGCTTCCGGTGGCATCATTGCACTTCATAAGCACTGCTTTTAGCTGCTGTAATACTGATTGATGCTCCTTTCTCGGGCGTTCTATTTTGGATGGTTGGCATGTCATTGCTTCTTTTAAACTTTAAAACTGCAGGTGCACCTTTTTCTGGTTACACCTGGTATATTTTTTCAGTGGTTATATATATATATATACATATAATATATATTGCTAACTTGAGAAACAAGGCCTCTTTACGTTAGGTGCACATCAGGTGGGAAGAGTACTTCTATTACTTGCCAAGATTGTGGCCCCTTATGGTGGGAATCATAATGCACTGTTGATGTGTCAAATTCACATAGCATAATTCCAAGGCACTCGATCAATATCCAAGGAAGAAAATTATGTTCTTTTGCGTGAGTTTCAGCAACTCATAGTAATTTGTATGTAAATGAATACTTCATCATTCTTGGCTGTCATGTTTTATGGAAGCACATGTGCTTCGTTAATAACAAAAAAACACGCACACTCACGCCACTGCAGTGGCGTGAGCGTGCGTGTTTTTTTTTTTTTTGTTATTAACGATTTGCCCTATGCATCCACGTTTCTTCTTTTTTTGTGTGTCGTACTTCTCGTATCGCACAGCCTACCGTTTTGGGCACACGTAAAAAAAGTACATAAAAAAGATGCGTTCCACGCCGAAATTCGCGTTCGCAACGAGCTGGGCACCGACAGGGTGCCCTACGACGCCCGCACACTCCGCAACACCTTACCAACCGTTCGCTGCGATGTTGTTGGGAATTCGTGTGGTCGTTGCATGAATATAGCGCGTGCGTGCGTGCGCACGCGCGTCTGTGTGTTAGATCACGGCAACTGCATATGTTGTATGATTCAGTCACCATAACGCAACTGACGACCCCCGCTCTTCCCACACGTCAAGCAGCAGCAAGTGCCGTTAACCGTACTGTG